ACCTCCCCCCTCACCCCCATCCCAGGGCCCAAGAAGACTTTCCACATCAAGCAGATGTTCACCTGCACATCTGCTAATGTGGTATACTGCATCCGCTGTTCCCGTTGTGGCCTCCTCTACATCGGGGAAACCAAGCGGAGGCTTGGGGACCGCTTTGCAGAACACCTACGCTCGGTTCACACTAAACAACTGCACCTCCCAGTCGCGAACCATTTCAACTCCCCCTCCCATTCCGCAGACGACATGTCCATCCTGGGCCTCCTGCAGTGCCACAATGATGCCACCCGAAGGTTGCAGGAACAGCAACTCATATTCCACTTGGGAACCCTGCAGCCCAATGGTATCAATGTGGACTTCACAAGCTTCAAAATCTCCCCTCCCCCTACTGCATCCCAAAACCAGCCCAGCTCGTCCCCGCCTCCCTAACCTGTTCTTCCTCCCACCTATCCCCTCCTCCCACCTCAAGCCCCACCCCCATCTCCTACCTACTAACCTCATCCCGCCCCCTTGACCTGTCCATCCTCCCTGGACTGACCTATCTCCTCCCTAACTCCCCACCTACACTCACCTTTACTGGTTCCAACCCCGCCTCTTTGACCTGTCGGTCTCCTCTCCACCTATCTTCTCCTCTATTCATCGTCTATCCGCTTCCCCCTCTCTCCCTATTTATTTCAGAACACCCTTCCCCTCCCCCATTTCTGAAGAAGGGTCTAGGCCCGAAATGTCAGCCTTCCTGCTCCTCTGATGCTGCTTGGCCTGCTGTGTTCATCCAGCTCTACACCTTGTTATACCAGAAATGAATGGTTGTTTTTCTGGTTTGGAGAAGTGTCGCTCCAGGCGTCAGTGTATTAGGGCTATTATCTATCTGCAAAACATTAACGAAATGGCCTTGGGTGTCCCGAGCAAACTTTCAAAGCTTGCAGATGAGACAAAATTCAGAAATGTGATAATCTGTAAGAAAGATCTTAGAAGAAATGAGGAGAAGGCAGATAACTGGTGAAGTTGGCAAACACATGAATGTATTACCAGGAATACAAGAAAGTATGTGCAACAGGAAAATAAGATAAATTGTAGAATTTTAAAGATGATGCAGGAAAAGAGGATTGTGGGTTGCACACATGAATCATTGAATGTTGCAGAAGACTTGATAATATTGATTATTAAAAAATGAATTAAGTCTCCTGGGCATTTTAAATAAGGCGCATATGTGCAAAGGTTATGCTAAATTTAATAAGTTACTTGAAGTTGAGTCACAAATGCAACACTAAAATTAAATATTCCAATCAGACAATTGTATTAAAACATTGAACATTAATATGACTGTAAAATTGTGCTATCAGGCAACAATTGTTCAGCAATACCCTGCACATCGATGCTCAGATTGTATTTTGCTACTACCATTTAACTCCTGACTTCATGACAGACCTGGTCCAAACATGGACAAAACTGCTAATATCCAGAGTGACTGCTCTTGACATCAAGCTAGCATTTGACCAAGGATGGTGTATGGCAGCCCTAGCAAAACTGGAGTCAATCCGAATCAGGTTGAAAAGACTTCCACTGGTTGGAATTAAACGCAGCACAAAGGAAGAATTTGTGGATGTTTGAGGTCAATCGTTGTAGCCCCAAGCCACTAATGCAGGGATATCCTAAAGGTATATATTTTATAATCAACCTGATCAGAGATGTTATTGCACACTTCTGGACCAGGTGGAACTTGAACCCAGCCCTTCTGGTTTAAAGGCAAGACATTACCACTGTGCCACAACAGCCCTCAAGATAGTGTCCTAGGTTCAATCATCCTCAGCTCCTTCATCAACAACCGTCCTTCCATTATAATATCAAAATTGACTGTTTACACTGAAGGTTGCACAATGTACATCATCACACTTATCTTCTTAGATACTAGAATAGCATATGACCAAATGCAACAAGACCTGGGCCACATCGAGGTTCAGGCTCGTAAGTGGTAAGTAACATTCACATCTTATAAGTACAAGGCAATTACTTTCTCCAACTAGAGAGAATCTAACCATCTTTATTTGGTATTCAGAGGTATTACCATCCTAGAGTTTAACATTGGCCCAGACCAGCAAAATAAATACTGTGGCTACAATGACAGATCAAAGTCTAGTAATACTGCATAGCTAATCCACTTCCTTAGTCCCAAAGCTCGTCAAGGAAGGAGTATGATGGAATACTTCCCACTTGCCCAGATATTTGCAGCTTCAGCAACACTAGAAGCTTGACATCATACAAGGCAAATCACTTGATTGGGACCGTATCCATAAAAATTCACTCTCTCCACCACCAATGCTCAGGAGCAGTGTGCACCATCATGAAGGTTCTGCTTTATCAACCTCATCCTTTGCCTGAGGCATGGTGATTCAACTCACGATCCATTGTCTCTCTTTAATGAGATAGCAGCCTTATGGTCCTGTGGGAACATAGTGACTTGATCTTTGCTGTCTGCTTAGTTCAGTTGGTTGGATAACTACTTTGAGATGCAGAGTGATGCCAACAATAGGGGTTTAATTCCTATACCAGCTGAGATTACCATGAAGGTCCCATCTTCTCAATCTTCCAAGGCATGGCAAACCTCAGTTTAAACTCACCTGGGAATCATCTCTCTTGTAAGAGAGCAGCACCTTACCATTTACAAGATGCAAGTGTTGTATTTCACCAGGGCTGTTTGGACAGCACGTACTAAACCATGCTGCAAGTTCTGAGGAAGGGTCGCCAGACCCGAAACGTTAACTCTGATTTTACTTCTCAGATACTGCCACATCTGCTGAGCTTTTCCAGCAACTTCTGTTTTTGTTTCTGATTTACAGCATCTGCCGTTCTCTCGGTTTCCATGTAGAAGGAGAAGGGCAGCAGTGACATGGGAGCACCACCATCTGCAAGTTCTCCTCCAAGGTGCACACCATCCTGACTTGGAAATATGTAACTGATTTTTTCCCTAAGACCTCAGTGCAGAAAGTGGACGGCAGCGGTTCAGAAAGTGGAGGGGCTGGTGTTGGACTGTGGTGGACAAGGTCAGAAGTCACACGACACCAGGTTTAGAGTCCAACAGGTTTATTTGAAAACACAAGCTTTCAGAGGCTCACTCCTTCTTTGGGTTCAAGGAGGCAGCTCACCAGCAACAAAGGTAATAAATACTGACACCCCCATTACATGAATAAAGTTCCATCCGAAATTCTGGGGGAGACTGATGGGAGGAGCCATGGTCCAGCAGGCTGCGCGCGCAGCCACCCGGCGCGGGGGCGTGGTCGCCGGCTGACGTAATTTCCGCTAGTGGCGAGGTGGCGACCCCGGCGTGACCTTTAACCCGGTCGTGAGGGTATTTGTTTATTTGACGGGACCATGGCGGGGATTAAAGGTGGGCGATCGGGTGGTTTTGTCTCCGCTGTAGCTGCTGCGGTGTCCGGCTGGGCTAATGGTCCCTGTGCCCCGCTTCCTTGCTGGGTGTGGGTCTGGCTTTGGGCGGGGGTGGAATTTGTCTTCCTCAGCTCCATATTCCACTCCCCCCGCCCCCATTCACACCAACCGCTCTTTCGTGGCCCACCTACTGCTCCACATTCTCCCCTTAAAGTGCCCAGTGCAACTAGATTTTAATTTTTAACCCTTGAATTGGAGAACTGTCTACAGGCACCAGCAGCAGCAACCAATATTTAACCTGAGCAAATTCCACAGACCTACGCCTTACAGCCACCCTTTAATTTATCAGATATGTAGTTAGCTGGAAGTGTGTGGTGAGTTCACAGGATGGATGATTTGGCTACTAATTTGTGTTTTGTCTGTATTTTCCAGCGTTGATCAGCCTATCGTTCGGTGGAGCAATTGGACTGATGTTCCTGATGCTTGGTTGTGCCCTTCCAGAGTACAAGTAAATAATGAGTACTCAGATAAAATGAATGCAGGAAACCTGAAATAAAAATGGAAATTGCTGGAACACCTCAACAGGTCTGGCAGTATATTGTGGAGGGAGAAACGAAGTTAATGTTTTGAGTCCAGATGACTTCATCGGAATTTCTGGATCATATTGAACTTGAAATGTTAGCTCTGTCCTTCTCTCTTCACAGATACTGCCAGCCCTTCTGAGAGTCTCCACTTTTTTATTTTTACAAAACAATAACTACCTTGTTTTTGGTGCTAAGCCAGAGGTAACACCATCTTTATTTTTCTTTTAACACTAAAACTAATAGAACATCACTGACTTCTTGGAGGAGAGAATAAAAATCATGACTAAAGATTAAAGCTGAGTTCTTAAGTGAATATAATTCTGGTTTACATTGTAAATTGTTAAAAATATTTGTATGAATAGTTGAGATTTTTCAGATAGGTAAGTAGATGAATAGGAAAGGTTTGGAGGGATATGGGTCAGGAGCAGGCAGGTGCAACTAGCTTAGTTTGGGATTATGTTTGACATGGATTGGTTGGACTGACTGTCTGTGTCTGTGCTGTATGACTCTATTTATCGGTTGTTAGTAAAAGTTATAATTCTTGTAATTTATACTCCTGTTTGAAAACATGCTTGGTTTTTTTCTCTTGCGTCTAAGAGAAGAGATGGGTTCGAAAAAGTAGTTCAATTCAGAAGAGATTTGAAAATATACTGGCACACATCAATTGAACTATTCCTGTTTCATAGATTGTATTAAGTTTCTACAGTAATGGAAGCCATGATATAGAGGTCCTAGGAGATCAGAAAATTGAGCCAAAGATGATGGAAGGAAGTTATAAATAGAGCTGATTGATGTGGGATGCTTTGGAAAATGGTATATGGACCTATTACTACCAGTTATGTACATTAAATAGGAATTGGGTTTGGAATAACCTTTCCAAGTTTGCAAGTGATTCCAAACGGAAGGGAAATGTAAGCAAGGAAGAAGCCAATCAAATGCAACCGACAAGTGGGAAATAGAAATGAGTTTTATTTTTAAGTGGTAGTACTTAGAATGGTTTGTCCTGGTTTTACTGGATTTTCATTCTTTAAGGATGCAAGGTGAGGCAGACCAGTATGTCATTCACAAGTTTTACTGGCTGTCCTTTCTGGGAGGATGCTAACAGGTTGAGAAGCCGGCCAAAGAGTTTCAGATACCAGTTAGTGAAGATAAATACAAAATGATGAGATTGGAAAGGACAATAAATGGTAGTGACCTAAACTGAATGTTATGCTCCACGCAAAACCAAAAATAAGATTAGAGGAGTGCTATTAAATAGGATACACTGACCACATCTGAAGTACGCAGCAACAATAAAGAGAGCTATTGGGCTGTATAACAGTAATGTTGAGTATGGGTTCCAACAATAAATCCTCAGACTCCAGAGCTAATGGAACAAATAGATGAGTAATTTACAGTTGTGATGTGCAACAAATCCAAAATATAGCCTTTTCCCGGGCTGAGCAATGAGATTAACGGAGCTGTATTTAAAAATTAAAGCTTGTTAGGTAGCTGGAAGTGTGCAGTGCAAATGAGGACTGAGCTGGCATATGTGAACAATGGAAAAAATGCTAAGTAATAAATAGACAATACAATAGGAGGTTACAGGAAGACTTTTTTGTTTTTGTCACCCAGTGGAGATGCATAGAGGACATTACTTTTCATTTTTAGCAGCAGGTTTGGATACAACTAAGAGCTGAAATAAAGAGAGCAGAGCTAGAGTCAGGAGCCCAAAAGGCCATCTTGGGAGTCTAGTAGCAAGAGACGGCAAGGTAGTTGTAAGGATCTGGCAGCGAGGATCAGGGTTACAACGCTAAAGATCATTGTGAAGGAATCTGCATGAAAAGAGGCAAAAATAAGTCCATGAAATTTCAAAGCACGAAATGAAATTAGAAACGGCTGCTTGTCAAGCTGGAAGAAATGTGTACATTTAAAAATATTACAGATTCAAAACATGATTCTAAAGGATCAAACAAATATATAAAATAGGAAGGTTTTTTTTCATTATTAAAATTTGCCAAAAAATGATGAAATTTGTGGACTTTTTAAAAAGTACTTCATTCCTGGGATGTGGGTATGTGGCCTGGACCAGCATTTACTGCCCATATTTCGTTGTCCTTGAGAATGTGGATGTAAGCTGCTGCTTGAACTCTGCTGTCAATCTGGTGTAGGTATGCCTTCGTGCCAATATGGAAGGAGTTTCTGCTTTTTAACCCAGCAATATCTCCATTTCTTTGTGTCAAAATACTAAAACTCCTCCCTTTATAGTTTTGTGTGTGTATACCTGCACCAATTGGACTGTAGCGGTTTAAGAATGCAGCTCACTGAGGCAGAAGATGTAGTTTCAAAGTCTACAGCAGAGATCTGAACACATTCTTAGTGACACTTCTGATTTTAGGATTAAATGAGAACTATGCTATTGGATGCATTGGCTTTCAAATGAGACTGAGGACCTGTCTGTCTCATCAGGTGGATGTAAAATGTCCCATGGCATTATTTGGGGAGCAATGGAGTTCTTCCTAATGCCCAGGTCAATATTCATCTGTAGCTACCAAGACTAAAAACACATTATTTGGTCATAATTACCTTGTTTGTGGAAACTTGCCCTGTGAAAATTACCTGCCATGTTTCCACATTTTGACAGTAGTTGCTTCAAAAGTGGCTGTAGAGCACTTTTAGATTGTCCTGAAGTAATGAAAGGCACAATATAAATGCAATCTCTTTATTTTCAAATTTAATGCTGGAAAGATGCATCACCAGGAGCTGTATTAAGATTTCCCAACAGCATTTCTCACAGCCCCTTAACCTGAGCACACACGACATTTTATTTGTCAGTCTAGGCTGGATTGAATTAGAAGGAAATTAAGGACAATGTGCTTACACACATGCCATCTAATTCTCAAAACTTGAGCAATATTTACCACGCAAAATGGGAAGTTACAAGTATACTCTGTCATAAACCTTCCAATATGTTACAAGGTTAATATAGGAAATCTAGTTTCATTTTTTTTGGGCTACATTTGCTGTAGGATCCACTAATATGTAAGAAACTGTTTCAAAGTGGAACACAGGGAACGTATGTTAAAGGAGACTGGGAAAAAAAAGTCAATATTGAGAATAAAAATTCAGTGAAGAACAGTGTTGGATTAATGTCATGTCTTGTATAGAATCATGGGACCATTCAGTGCAAAAGGAAGCTATTTGGCCTTCTTGCCTTTACAAGCTTTATGGAGAAGCTACTATTAGTAGCTCATTTCCATAGTATGGTACGTTGTTCTAGTTTTTTTAAACAGCAATCCAATGCCCTTTTGAAAATTCTGATTGAATCTACCACCATCATTCTTTCAGGCAGTGCATCACAGATTATTATAACTCACTGGCACTTTGTATCTCCATTCTTATATTTTTGCTAATTATTTTAAATCGATCATCCAACCCTTGTGCCAGTAGAAACAATTTCTCTCCATCTGATCTTATTAAAAACCTTCATAATTTTAAGCACAAGTATTAAATCTCCCATTAATCTTTCCTACTTTAGGGAAAATAATCCCAGTTCCTTCAGTCTTTCTATGTAACTGACATCCATCACACTTGATATTATTCTGATAAACTTTCTCTGTACCAATAACCTGGTCTTGATGTCCTTTCTAAAGAGTGGTGCCCAAAATTGGATGCAATAGTCTTGCTAAAACCTAATAACTTTTTCAAATGTTGAGTATATCTTTCTTTATTTTGTGCTTCCATATCTACAGCACAGGAACCAATACGCTTTTTAAAACTTCAATTTTTAAAGATTTATATACATATGTCTCCAGGACACTCTGATCCTGTACCCCTTTTAAGGTGGCAAGGTAGAGCTG